ATTCCTGCTCTGCTGTCTCTGCGGCAAGCCTAACTAAAATACCTACCCTAAGTAACTCTTCCACGTGGGGACTGCAGCAAAGCAAGAAGCAAAGCAAGTGTTAGATTTAAAACTACAGAACATCTGAATGCAGCCGCTTGGGGCTAGAGTTCAGAGATGAATAAAGGTCTGTTCCAATTAAATACTGTTCTGCTTTCACAACTGGTGTCAAAAGCTTCCCCTACAGGTAGTACCTAAGTTAGTGTCAGGAAATATTGTGCAGAACAGTCACTTTCTCTAGTAGGCACGAGTTAGTAGAGGGTTTCTCATGTTGCTGATTGTTAGCGTTTAAGAAATATTGAAGTAGTAACTGCTTAATGGCCAACTTGGCCTCCAGTGCATTTTGGATTACCAGCTCTTCAGACTGGGTGTTAAAACCCCGGTCTTCAGTACTATTGCCTTAGAGCCAAAGCAGAGTTCCAGCATGCACGTTAAGAACACACAAGAACACTAGCTGCGTCCTACTGATTCATATCGAGAAGCGCTGTTCACGTTTGTCTGAGAACTCATACCCTCCAGGAGAATTAAACCCAACGGTTAACAATAGTTGTGTATCTGGAAAGAGGCAGGGGAGCTACTAGTTTGCTACTAGATGCCGTGTTAAAGCATTACTCACCAGGACACGAGCTTGTTCAGGGGTCAGAACGTCCCCTTCTTTGCAGACTTCATAGTCTGAAAGTAGCGTCACCACTCCTGCAGGAATAAAAGGGAGAGGAGCTGGGTCTCGGAGAGAGGGAACCCCGTGAGGAAAACAGCTCGGGGCTGTTGGATTCATCAGAACTTCCTGCCAGTCCTGGTTCACCATCCTACATGAAGCCCGTGGCAGCTGACAAGCCAGCTTTAACCAAAAGACAACCTTCTGACCTGACAGCGTTTAGAACAGACAGGAGCATAACCATGGCAGATGTATGAGTTAGTACCAAGCATCAGTTCTTGAAATAGGCTTCCAAATACTTCCAAATACCCACTTCAGCCATTATGGATGCAAAGCCAGGACCAAGACTTTCTCAACCACTGTCCTTCAATCCTGCCTTACTATTTAACCTTCTCCTTAAAAGACCTTGTCTGCACAGACCTTACTAAGATGGCAGCAACCTTTAGCAACTTGCAGCAAAAGTTCGTAAAGTAAAATTTAAGTGGCAGAAGGGGAATTAAGTTCACCTACCTTTCTTTAGAGCCGTTGGCAACCCCAGCTGCCGTAGCTGAGGCTCCATGGAGTGGGGAAACTGCTCCAAGGGCCCTGTGTCCAGGCTCACTGTGTATGTTGCCTTGTTCCCCGCACGGGCAAAGTCCACCTCTTTGAACTGGGAGAACCAGCTGAGATAAGGGACAGGTAACAAGAGCATTAGCTGCGTAAGGAACATCCCTTGGCCTGAGACTGAGATCGTTCCTGGCTGATCTCTTCATCAGGCAGCAAATTGCAAGACTGCATTTAACTGTGGGCTTTGCGGAACCCTCCGTTGTTGCAAACGTCCAAAGAACTAGATGTAAAGCAGACGAACAGAAATCCGTAACGGAATTCCAGAGGGTAGGTGGGTACACAAGAAAATTAGAGATTATGAGTTAAATTCAAACAGAAGAAACACGAACAAAGAGCCCCATCAGCTCCACTTACGGGCAGGAGGTGCATATACGTAATCACCCCAGCTATCCTCACCTACTGCTCAGTTCAGCTGTTAGCATTCCCTGTTCTCGTGCGCACAGCTTTTGCGTCATGAGAGCCACGTGAAACGGACTGCCCTTCTGCACTCTTTTTAATCGCAGCGTAGCCCACCGCAGCTTTTTTTCCCTGCTGTAGCCTTCAACGTTACGATGCCAGAGCAAAACAAGGGGAAAAACCCCATGAGAACACGATGGTTTTAAGAGCAGCGGTAAGCGCAGCGGCAGGTTTGCCGCCCCCCCCACCAGTAGCCAGTGAAGGAAAAAAAAAAAAAAGGCCTTTTCTGCACTTTGGTATCACAGCTGCCGGTCGCACGCGTACTTACTCGTTCACCTCATCTTTGGTGCGATTCGTGAACAGGAGACCGACTTCACCTCTCAGATGTTTGCTGACCTGGAAGAAATAAGCCACCCATGGGATTCAACAGTACACCTTACAGGCAGCATCCGGGCCCTCGTCGTTTTCTGGAGTTTGGTGCAGCGCAGCTACGAAAGTCCGCAATAACACAGAAGTCTGTGCAATCAATTCTACTAATAATCAACCCCGACATCTTCTTCTTGGGTACTGTTTCATACTGATGCACTAAGTCAAGGACAAAACATACACAGAAAGGTGTTCTGAAAAAGCTCTGTCTTGATTTAAGTTTATCCCCCGACGATAAAAGCGACCGTTTTGGCAAGCCGCTGGCGACGCAGCCGGTGCGGGCGAGATGATTCAGACACCGAAACGCTTTAGCCTTCCGCCACGTACCTTGTGCAAGTTCTCCTTGTACTCGCTGGCCGGTTCCCGTCCCAGCGCCACCATCATCACTTTGTTTTTCCCGAAGAAAATCCTGAGGCG